TCTTAACAAAGCTAATAAAACAAATCTCAAATTAAATATTTTACTTAGAAAATATATAGCTAAAATCAATATTTAAATTATTAGAAAAATTTAAAATTTAAAAAAGTTTGCAGGCAAATTTGGCTACAAAACAATTTAAGGGATAACAATTTCCACAATGTCGGGTTCCTAATTTCAGTTTAATATTATTATCATCAGTTTTAACATTAGTATGTTTTTTTGGTCTTGAATTTTTTTCTTGTTCTATATTTAAATTCTGAAGACTATCTTGTTGCGCAAAATTTGACCCTTTGGAATGACCCTTATGCTTAGCTTTTTTGGATTTTCAATTTGAGTGATATCAATATCCATTCATTGACTAGTACTAACACCAGTACGGTTTTCAATAAATCTTGAAATCAGTCTAACAAACTCATCAACCAAACCATTGTCAATGGCAAATTTTAACCCACTTTTAGCAATGCCAAAGCCATATGCATACTCTTGCTTTTGTGTAATATTTTTACAAATTTTAGGCTAATATATATCTGGTCCACAAATAGATATCACTTAATTCATTTCTATAACTGTTTCATGTTCTGCAGTTGTATCTGTAATTGGTGATATACTGGATTCTTGCATTGGATTGAAATACCAATGTTTTAGTACAAGCTTAATATTGAATTTTGCATTATTGGACATTTTAAAAACACTAAAAAAATGTCTACAATAAAACCTATGAGAAATAATATAAAGGCATGTGCAAATATGAGTGTTATCAGCTAAAAGAATAAGGTAGTGAGGATAGCTATGAATATGTTGGTTAAATAATGATACTCTCCAAATCTCCAAAATATTTTCGTAGTTCACCATCTTTATAATAGTCTCAAGTGAGGCTTGTAATGTGTCATATTCATCTTCCAGGTACCCCTCTGAGTATTTGTGAGCTTTAGGTGGCTGAATAAACATAGTAATATTATATAAATTAATTAATAAGATAGTAACTATAAAATAAGAGTATATAGTCCAAATCATACATACTGAAACTAAATTATTAGAAGTTTCAACCAAAAATGCTCAATATAAAATACTCTAAGATATTTGAGTATTTTGGACAAATGCTAATTCAGATGTCAAATACTTTTCAATTTCATCTTGAATAGATTTAAAAAAAACACTCTGAAGACTTGGCAACCCCTGTGTAAATAATGTATTTCTATATTCAGAAAATCGTTGATGTTGTGCTTCATAATCAAGTTTGGTTTGAATAGTCTTACATAAATTAAGTAGTGTCGTTTTTGTGTCAACCTCATTTTTGATAATACTATTCATACTTTCTACTCTCTGAGTGCTTTGCATTTTAGCACAAAATGTAGTAAATACATAAATTTTCACCCATGATTCTCGTATTCTCCAAAGTTGTTGCAAATAATTTTGCCCATAGGATATTGAACTAATAATTCTCTCCAATTGTGCTCTAATTTAATTTCACTATAGCTATTATGACATTGGAACCAGCTTTGTAAAAAATTATTATAAGAGTTTTCTAACTTTCGAGATAATTTTTTTGCAAGATTTGTCTGTATATGAAATATACAATAATTATGCTTTAAACTAGGAAATACTTGATTAATAGCAGAGATCATTGCAAGATCAGCGTCAGTAAAAATTGCCCTTGAAGGTAAGTTATCTGTTGCTTTGAGTATACAATTTAAAATCCAAATATAAGAACCAATAGTTTCATCTTGAACAAGAAACTGCGCAACAAGCCTAGTTCGATAATAATTGTCAACAACTACAAACAAATTTAAAAGCATATTATATGCATTTGTTTTGGCTGTATTATCATTGACTACCATGTCATGATAATGTTTCTATAATTCTATCTGTGTAGGTGTCATCCAAAAAAGTTAGGAAAGATTGTTATCAATTCTCTCAAACTCGATATAAATAACCCATCCGAGCTCTTGTTCTTGTTGTTGCATTAACCATTTTACTATATCTGCTGTATCGTTTTCTCTTTTGTTACCTATTTGATTTCCATATCTACATATAGCATTATACAAATTACGATCATATAATAGTTGGTTAGAGAATTTTTTTGACAAATACTAATATTGAGCTTTGACCTCAAAATTACACTTCTGTATTAAAAACTTTATTGCATCAAGAACTTCTTGTGAAAATGAGTGTAAACTCAGAGCAAATTCTTTCTATGTGGTGTGAGAGGATGATTATGCTTTTCAACAAGCTTGTTAATAACTACAGCATTTTTACTTTTACGAAACCAGCATTTAGTTGCTATTGGCATCCAATTTTTTTTGATAATTTATCTTTTTGATATGTTGTAACATAGTAATATTTTTCAGATTCAACGTTTCATGGTGGTAAGTTTAGTAGTCGAGTAGGGCGTGAAGATTGTTGGTATCTATTTATTGGATGTCTTTGAGGTGGTGGGGTCTGAGTAGGAGTAGTAAGAATTCTTTGTGGGGGTGGACTGTTAGTTTTGAATTGTACGTGAGGTGTTTGTAAGAAATGGTTGTCTTCTGGCCAAGTTCTCAGTTCTAATGGGTCTACTATAGGTTCATTAGCATGGGCGTAAGTTCTTTTGGTCCTTCGATGAAGATATCGATCTTCATATTCCCCCTGATAATCAGTACTTCCATACAGATTATCGACAACTATATCATGTAAGATAAGAGTAGGACAGAGTCTTCTGGGTTATGAATTACAAGATGTTCATTGAAGTCGGAATTGGTATTATCGTGTTCGGCTTGGTAAAGAGTTGGAGAAGAGTATACGTAACAAATTTGTTGATTCTTCAGTACTTCTGTTAGCGTTCTAGGTTCTTCTAAGCTGATAAAGTTATTTTCATCTCTCTTTAGGTCTTGGGGTTCGGGTCTAGTATCTTGATGTTCTGGATATTTTTGTTTTTGTGCTGTGGCGGCAGCTGATGTTTCTGCTTGGAGGCTAGTTGACATACTTAGGGCCAACAATGTTGATTTGTTTTTTGAGTCTGATGAAGTAAAAAAAATTTCAGACCGGGTTTGTGCGTTAATTTCACTTAAAATAGGTTTTGGAAAAATATATAATTGTGAATAATTTATAAATAGGATCAATTTTATTCTTTCTTAGGCAACTCAGTCCTGTCATCGTCGCCAAGTGTAATCGATTTATTCGATTAGACAAAGGTTGAGTGGTTATATGGGTTTTTAAGAAGAATGTTTTTCCTTTTTAAAAATCTTTATTTAAAGATAAGTTTTTAAAGGCACCAAAGATGCTTTTGCAAGATAATTTTGTGGTTTTTTTTATACATTTCAAGTTTTACTAATACTTATCTTTTTAAGTATTTTAGCTGCAACTATGTGCAACTTAGGATGCTTATACTCTGGCCCTCGTTATATATAACGATCTTATGCATAACGATTTATGCGTAATGATTGTTATGCGTAATAAATTATGCATAATAATCGTTATGCATAACAAATTGTGCATAACAAACATTATACATCGTGAAAAAATTCTCTAGCTACTAAATAATACTAAACGATCCTATAAATAAATACACTAAATATAATAAATAACTAAGCTAAACTCTAATAATATATATTTATAGGTTTTATAATGCTTATTCTAATAAAGTAAAATAAAGTTAGATGGCCGGTTCGTCACAACAGTTTTGTTGGCATCATGTAACTCACGTGATAGTCGTAATACACATAGCGCAGCAGGATCATTATATTAGTTCCGGCTTTTGTGTTATAATGTGGTATTAATTTTTTTTTTAGATTGATATTTTCCAGAATTTTCACAAATAAAATATTGCCGAATTATTTCATCACTACTATCACGTTCTATTCGATGTTTTATTGATTTAAATCCAATCTCCAATTCATATCTTTTTAATGCATATTCTAAAGACTCCCAGCTAGAAAAAGGAGCCCTGTCTTGAATTTTTTCATTATTTTCATTATCAGATTCATTTTCACTTTGTTGCTCATCGTTCAAATCTATCCCTTAAATTGTTTTGCAGCCAAATTTGCCTGCAAACTTTTTTAAATTTTAAAATTTTTTAATAAAATT